CCCCTGGCCCCCAAGGCAACCATCCCCTCATACCGTTCGACACGATAATGTCTTAAGTAAGCGCATAATAGACTTTGGATGGCAAGCTGTGACTATATTTCTATATGATGACACGTTTATTGTATTGTTTGGCAATTTAGGTCATAAATCAACTATTAACAATCATTTCGTATTATATGGGCGGGGGAATTCACTATTTATGTGACACTTAGGGCCTGTCTGGGAGCACTTTTGGCTTCCCAAAAAATTTATTTTTTTACCGTTTGCACAGTTAAGTGGGACTCGGGCTCAGACAAGGCAGCCAAAATGTTGGACTCTTTTACTGCAGAATAACATTTTCGCCCTTAACATTTAATTTAGTTGTCATGATAAATAGACATTTTTGGTATTTCACGTTTAAAATTTCAAAAACTACTGCCTTCATAGGACCCATGTTGAAGTTCCAACGATCAATTAATTGCTGCTTTTTGGGAGAAAAACTCTCCCAGACTGGCTTCATAGAAGAGAAAAAATAGCACTTTAACAGTTTAACTTATTCAGTAAATAAATGAATCATTGAAGATAAGTGGTACGTGATATTCAGGCGAAATTTTTACATAGGCTTCGACTTCGTGGACTATCAACCTCCATTTGTACTGGAGTCATTATGCTATTCGTTTATATTCACCATCTTTGATTCTCTATTGTTGGTTTTGACATGCCTTAACAAAATGGTCCATACTAACAAAGAAATAAAGATATATTAGCGTTGTGTACCAATCATGCTACACAAACGGATTCAATAACAAGATTAAAAATTTTATTGCCTTCTCTTGATATCACCTAGTTGGAAATATGGAATGTCCGTTGTTTTTCAAAGAGTAATAGAATGTAATGATTATATGTTTAGCTCTGTTGTAAATGGTAAGTTTATAGTGAATGACAATTGTACCCCTACAGCCTTAGAAGTTATTACTACTGTAGATTCAATAACAAGATTAAAAATTTGGGGGACGCGTAGCGCAACATTATTGGACAGTTATGAAAAAAATAAAAATTATTCATACAAGTGTTGACAAGTCAGCTCATGTCAAAGCACCGATTTTACAATCCCCATTCGACTAGCATTATTGGTTGTGTACTTTAACAAAGAATACTACTTTCGGATAAAACCTTGTGTATTCAATATCTAAACACAATTTTTAATTAACAAACGAAGGTCAAAAAATTGAATACATTTTATACCCATTAAGAGTTACTTTTGTTTTTCTAATAACAAGTGTGGTATAGAAAGTCCTTTTTTTTCACACAACTAAATCGATTTCATTAGTGAATATCTTCATAACTCCCGCAATGTCATGACATCCCAGTTTGCAGACTCCCAATAGAGTTGAATTCCCAAGGGTGGTTGTTAAGATTTGGGGTTCTATCTTAATATTTAAAAAAATGTAAAGTACCTCAAATACTCTTTATCAATTTAGTTTCTCTCAGAATTTTCTTCTGCATTTACGTTCACTCTTTTGTTTTAAACCTTTCAGACATTGAGACTCAATTGTGAAGTAAATTTTAACCTCACAGTCCCAAAAAAAAAAAAAAAAAAATCAAAAGGCAAATATTCGATATTAATACTACCAATAACATTTTAATTTATGTTATCTTTGCATCAATAACATTTTAATTTATGTTGACTAATTGATTTTCTCAAATAATTAAGTAATGTAGGATGATCACACACTGAAATATTTATCACCCTCCTGTTTGTACAGAAATATGCTGCTAGAATTTTGTTAGAATACACTTGGCAAATTTTTATTCGATTAGGACTTTAAAAAAAAGGCAAATCAATGGTGAAATTCTAGCAGCTCAGCTTTTGTACAAGCAAAGAAATCCAATATTTATAGAAATAGAACCTTGCTTGGTGTACAAGGAAATTGTTGCCAGGGTCATTACAGGGAGAATGTAGCATCATTCCATTGGACATGGACAAAAAAATAAAAAAAATTCAACCACACAGGTAGGCCGTAGGCAGCACCTATGCACCCCTTTAGTTTATGGACCATGCTATGTGTACATAGCAATACACATAAGGGTGTACATAATGTGAGAGGGGTGTGAACAAAAAATAAAAAAAATTCAACCACACAAGTAGGCCGTAGGCAGCACCTATGCACCCCTTTAGTTTATGGACCATGCTATGTGTACATAGCATGGTACATATGGGTATACATAATGTGAGAGGGGTGGGACCCATGCTACAGTAGCGCGGGTCCCACCCCTCTCACATTATGTACACCCTTATGTGTATTGCTATATACATATAGCAATATTCTTAGTTTATTCCAATAGAAATAAGGGTTTTGCTACATTGACAAAAGGAATTTACAGATTGCATAACAGAAGCAGAGATGGTAGGAATTGATTTATCCTTAAAAAAAATAAAAGTCTTTTTGTAGCCAATACAAGCAGTGTTGAATAAGATGATGGATTTGAGTGACACTTTAAACCAAAAAATCAATTTACCAATCTTACCAAAAAATTGGACAGAGTAACGGCAAAGATATGATTGAAAAACACCAAATGAAAAGAATTTAAAAGAATGCCAAAAGTTGAGATAAGAGTGAACTGTCCTCAAATCGAATTTGTCTCACAATGGTGCACACGGATAATGACAATTGACTTCCAAGATACAACAATAATCTTATTATATTAGCAGTACTTTAAAACACAAGAACAAGAACTGAAAATTGGTTTTTGTACTCCTTCTTATTAAAAATGGAAAAACAGGTTTTTATGCATAATTTTGGCTAAGAAAAGTGATTTTAGTATTATGCTATGATTACATGTCATTGGAATGAACAGATGAACGTCTCGAATGTCTAATTTATAGAAGATGAAATGTTGTGAGTGAAGTGCTCCGTCCTAAACTCAGCAATTTTTGTCAAGTGTCTCAACTTTTGTTGTCGCTAGCATGTCGCTCTTGCGTTGCGAGCATCAGAAACAGAGTTGGACAAGCGACAACCTCCTAGCTAGAGCATTAGGCGAGCGACAGAGTTGGACACATTTCTAGTCGGTTTTCTCTCTTTTCTTCAAAATTTAGACTGTAATTTCTCATTTACTCGGAATCGATTTGAAGATTCCAAATATACCACAACGATTTTCTCGATAAGTAGAACAAGTTAGTCTATTATTTTCATAATTTGACTGTTGAGTCAAGTCTGAATATTTGATCGAAATTAACACGAAAATTACTTTTCATGATTTAATACTTAACTAATTCTAACAATCAGTCCACCTGTGCTTTTGTTATCCATTCTGGCAATTTCTTCTGTCAAGGAAGCTCAATTCTAGAAATATATACAACAATTGTTATAAAATCGTTCAATTCCCAACAACAGATAAATATATATATATAATAATTATTTTCAATGAGAGTCATTCTGATAATCTTTATTCCTAAACTTAACATCACAATGATACATTAATGTCAAAAGTTGCCATCATTCTAATATGTCTGACGCTTTCATGTAAATTTTTTTACCTAATAATGTCATGGGGTAAAATTGAATATAAATCGTATTTCAAAATAAACGATCATTAATGCGACGGAACATACTAGTTGCAACTCTAAATTATCTCCAAAATTAATTAACATATATTTACCTCGAAATGAGGCTAACAAAGAATTGTGTAGTCCCTTGAGGGGTACAAACACACTTGTGCGAATTACAGGTGACAATTACAAGAATGGATGAGAAATGAACCGTACTCAAGATAGAGGAAAACAATCGGAAGAGTTCAGAAGTATTATTTGTTTTAGATATAGTTTTCGGTGACATATTGATATGACAAAAACAAAAACCACGTTAAGTTTGGTAACATGGCTAATGAGTGACTAATACTAAAAACAGTGTGATTGAGACAATTTAAAGTTAGGTGATTCGATTGATATTCCACTTAAAGTTTATGGACCAAAAGTCAAATTAAAAGATATAAATATTTGGCTTGTTCGAACCCCATTGGTGTCAAAAAAATGTATTTTTTAATAGTATATTGATGAAAAATGTGTAGTTAAAAAATAAAGAAATTTTTTGATTTCGCATATAATATTATATTATTGAAAAATGTGTTATTAAAATAAGATCAAAACACGGTTTAAAAATGCATTTAAAAAAAAAAAAAAGAAAAAAGTCTCAAACAAGGGAATTATAATGTGCTGAGGACATAGTTTTGCCTTTTCGGAGAAAGAAAGATATTTTGGGCATTTACGAATAAACAGAACTAGGGTTGCAGCTTTATCAGGTCCACGTAAGTAATGGACACGTGTCAAATGCAAACTTAAAACATATCGCGGATGTTGACTTCTCTTCATGTACGTGTCTAAATATCCTCGACTTACCTACACGCATTTGCTGCATTGATTCCCAACACGTGTCTCATTTACACACATCTGCTTATTTTACACCCTTATTTTAAGAGAGTGAAATGACGCGCTATGATGAGGTACCAAACACTAATCTCGTACCCCCACGATCCTACCACGTGGCATAATCCTAAAGAACTCTAATAAAATAAAATAAAAAGAAAATTAGAAAAGGAGATAAATAACAGAGAAAGAGGATTCCTCTCCTGGGCCTGGACCACATGCGCGTCATAGAGGAACTCTATTGCAGATGCCGTGTTGGTTTCTAATTGGTCCACGTAGACAGATAAATTAGACGGCCAAGATCATTCATGTTTCGACGTCACACCAACTGTACATGTGTCGGATACAGCTTGCCCTTACGGTGACGGGCAGCTGCCCGCAACACGTCATCACCCTACTTCAATCAAACTATAATGTGGTCTCCCCCTCAATTCTCCAAAAAGCTTCATTTTCTGGGTCCGCACCAGATTTTCGTATCTTTTTAGTTTCGTCTGTCTGCTGATTTCTTCCCCCTTTTCTCTTTCTCTTCACCAGGATAGGATTGTTTTAACTATTATATTATCATTCAAGTCCCATACTTCTACTAGACTGATATTCCATGGCGCGTATGTGCTGTGAGGTGAATATTGCTGAGACAGAGACGACTGCACCTGGGGACAGGCGTTCAAAACCCGGTAGGAGGAGAAGAATGGAAATTCACCAGCTCAAGTTTCTACACTCCGATTCCTCGGTGGATCCGCCGCTAGAGAACGGTAAAAAGAAGAGGCAGAAGATACAGGTAACTCTTCCGGTTTCTACTCCTCGTGAGTGCATAAACGCATATCAGAATTGCCAAGTAAAGGAGAAAAAGCTTGAGCCAGAAACCGTAACTGAGCTCAATCGGGTTCTGGAGTGGCCGAAATTCGGCGTGACATCGGTTTGTGGAAGAAGAAGAGATATGGAAGATGCAGTGGCAATTCACCCTTGTTTCTGCGGCAAAAGCAATGATATCTCAACTGGGTTACATTTCTTTGGAGTATACGATGGCCATGGCTGCTCACATGTGAGTAATTATTATTTATTATAAATCATTTTTAAACTTCTGAACAAGTTGATGAATTCATTTCGATTTGGGTATTTATAGGTGGCGACCAAGTGCAAAGAACGAATGCATGAAATAGTGAAAGACGAGCTCAAAAGTCGGGAGGATCCTTCATGGAACGAAATTATGTTCAAGAGTTTTATAGAAATGGACAAGGAGGTAACAGAATGGTCTAATGGAGCTCCCACCGCTACTTGCAGATGTGAGCTTCAAACTCCTCATTGTGACGCCGTTGGATCCACAGCGGTCGTGGCGGTGGTAACGCCTGACAAAATTATCGTTTCTAATTGCGGTGATTCTCGCGCCGTCCTTTGCAGGAACGGTGTTGCAATTCCCCTTTCCACCGATCATAAGCCTGATCGACCCGATGAGCTCGATCGAATTAACCAAGCGGGTGGCCGGGTCATTTTCTGGGATGGGCCTAGAGTTCTTGGTGTATTGGCAATGTCTCGAGCAATCGGAGATAACTATTTGAAGCCATATGTGATACCGGAGCCGGACGTGACCATAACAGAAAGGACAGCAGAAGATGAATGTTTGATCTTGGCTAGTGATGGGCTGTGGGATGTGGTTACGAATGAGGTGGCCTGTGGGGTGGCGCGTATGTGCCTTCAGTCCCGGAAGCCTTCATCCCCACCGCAATCTCCAGGCAATGAAACAACAGTGACTGCCGCCGGCGAGAGCTCCGACAAGGCATGTTCAGATGCGTCAATTCTCTTGACTAAGCTGGCCTTGGCCCGACATAGCAGCGATAACGTTAGTGTTGTCGTGGTTGATTTGAGGAAGGAACTATAGAGATTTACCAATTTTTACATTCAACAAGAGTGTAGTAGTTGAAGAATTTCTCCGGCTTCCTTGAAGAAGGAAAGAGAGAATGAAAATGAAGAACAAAACTCCTAAAAAATATTAATTTTATGTAATAATTTTTTATTTGTAATATTAATTAACTTTTTGTGGATGTCAACTCCAATGAAGAATTGTTGTAAATGTATTATCAGTTCATTTCGATCCAGTTACTAATGAAAGAAAAATCTTCATCCCACTCGACCTAACTGTTACATTCAGGCATTATTTTATGGGATATAAACTGAAACATAACATTCTCTTCAATCTTTGAAGAACAAGACCTCGTAAATATAGGCATGGACAAGCATAAGAGGGTGTGATGCTCGATCCAGGATCCGCCATGGGCTCAACCTCGAGCTTATAATCAAGAGAATGGGCTTGACCTCATGATCGACCTAGGCTTAGTGGAATAAGCTCCACATTGAACTACTACATTGGGGTTGCTAGGATAGGCTCGACCTCGATCTTAGCTTCTGGAGACATGAAACAAAGTGCGTTGATGGTTAATGGAAGTATGCAATGAGGCTATATACTGAAATCTCGAGATCCTACCTAGACATCGAGTTCATACCTCGAGCTTCATTGATGTGTGAGTATCAAGTGGCGACCTCAAGTTTGAGAGTCCCTAAAGTATGTGGTAGTTTCCATGAGGAGCTAGGAAACATTGAGCACATTAAGCTCAAGGTCGGAGTTGGAGTGCTCAATTTTGACCGTGTTGCAAATCATTTTTGTGTTTTTTTAGTCACTTCAATCAGTAGGATTGATGTTAGGCTTTCAAGTTTCATCCGAAAAAATCTAATATGTGCGTGTTTGGAAGTATAGAAGGAGTTTTTGAGCACTCCCGAACATGCTATAGCGCTTATTCTTGAAGCAATGATGATGATTTTGAATTCAAGAAGTTATATTAGGTTCATTGATTGAAATAGCAATTGGAAAAAAACTAGAAGTCCGAACGATTCATAGTCCAAGCAGCATAGGCCCATAGCCCTCCCTAAATTAGCTTGATGGACTAGCCAAATGAAGAAGAGTGAGCAATAGTGCCAATGCTATTGAGTGAACCCTTAAAGTAATCATTCTTCTGCTATAACAAACCAGATTTTGGATCTGGTTTTTCAGATACCTGTGTCGCTTTTCTCACCATAAAACGGTCTAACGCTTTATGTACGACTGTTGATGGATCACGAACTTAGCAGAGCTATTACCATGAAGCGATAAAGGTTCAAATTCAAACACTTTTTTATAAAATAAAGAAACAAACTAAGAATAAATAATAAAGAATTAGTTTACAAGACTGTTTTACAACTGCTATACAAGTGATACCAGTCACTCCTATGGAATGTTTGAAGCTCAATTTGCTATGGAGTCACAGCAGTGTTTACTCCATCACCCTTATTCCTGCCTTGCATGTACAAACAGAAGGTATGGTTTGAACCCGTGTCTTTTTACTTCATGCTTGTAGGAGGCGTTTGTCACTTGTCAATATCCTATAACTGGCACGAGGGCCCTCGGACGTGTCTCGAATTGATACATGACCACCCATGCTGCAATTTCTTGCAGTTCATCCATAACAGTAAGAGAATCTCGAATGTATACACCTCCACCAGGCCTTAAAACCCGGTCCATTTCAAGCATGATGGTCGATATATTGCATCTGAGGTAAAGAAGCCAAAAGAATTCTTATGTATAAAACATCTGGCATACAACTAAAACAAAATGGACTATTTAAACAAGATCATCCATGAAAAGATACAGATCAAATGCTTTCAATTGAAATGTCAAAAAATACCACTTTTTATCAGTCATTAAACAATATGAAATAAGTTATTATCGACAACATTTAAAACTGAAATTTCTCGAGTCTGATATTGTCAATATTGAAATTTACTGTCTTTGTAGCAAATAAAGAACTAGAGTACCTTTTTTGTTCAATGGAGAGCAGGCCAGCAGCGTGCAGTAAATCATAGGCTCTTGGGTATGTGTCAAATGCTTCACACCTGAAAAGTGAAGTGAAACTCAATATACAAACATCTAATGACAGTTCATTTGCACAACAATAGCACACAAATCCATTCCTGGAACCACCAAATATAATTAATGCACATTTTGGGAAACAAAACTGTGAAAAGGTTTCAGTCATGATGGTCCATTTCCACATTTATTTCTCTTCCTCCCTAAAAGTTTGTGGCATTTATTTATTGGAGTTGGGAGAGGCAGACAACGTAAGAAAGAAAATGTGCATGAATGGAACACGCATGAAACAATAACTACAAGAATATCATACAAACTTATGTCAAATACATACCGGTCATGCATGACTCCAATAAGAACACGGTCATATATAATGGGCAACGTATTGGGTCCACTAACAGGGACGACATTGAGAACCCGGCAATCCAATTGATTTTCGATTAGTCCTGCTGCAAATCTGCCAGAGAATCAATTGTTTAGAGTCAAATGACTGAACACGAAAATGAACAAAATACAAAGTGATGTCCAATACATAATATATAGCTGCTTAACAAAATAGGAAGCAAAATAGAAAATACCCTCCAAAGCCAGCTCTCATATCCAACACATTTCTAAGTTTGAACTCCTTCCAATATAATGCGCGTACATAGCTTTCAATTATTTCATGCCAATATCTTGATTCTGCCCTGAAAAGCTCATTCCTTGACATGTAAGCATCAATCTGTATACTCTGGAGCCGAACTGGAGGATTCTGCAACTGTGCTGGCCAGGTGATAATATTCAAGCCATATCCTTCCTCAGGCAATTGCGTTATACATCCCTTTAAATCAACATATCTAACATAATTGGGAGCGGAATCTATCAATACAAGGGGGACAGAAAATGCCAAGACAGCTCTTGTAACCAACTCAGTTGGAAGCAAAATTCAATCATCAGCATAAAATGGAAGGCAAAGACATCTGTGAGCAACATTTTACAAAATTTTAAATAATTCTTATAGATTCACATTAGAAAGTCCCCAATAACATTTGGGATGATTCGATGGAAAACAGTCAAACTATACTTTAACTACTTGTAGTTCTTCCACATTTCTTTCATGCAGTTTAGAAAAACAACAATTTTCAATAATTTGTGGGTCATTTTCTGAATAGAAAGCCATCTCTATGTCTCACGTTTATTACTCATGTCAGCATACATATTCAAGATTCAAGATAAAAAAGGATTAATTTCAATATTTCTGAGGCTGAGGGTTATAATTACTTAATCAGATATTATACCTATTTAGGAATACTCTCTTGACACATTCCCAAGGTAACAGCACTCCTAGGGCATCTACCTAAAACTAGGCACACATTTAGCAATACGGTAATTAAATAAAACATTCATAGCAGCTGCACTCTTGCTCCAGTAATAAAGACGTTGAGTTATGACTTGAAACAATTATTTCAAAACCAACAATCCTAGCCCTTGGATTTTTCATGAAAGATGACCGGACTCCACAGTAACTAGAAACTGATAACTGTCTTCAAAATTAAGAGAACATGGATACAGTCATAAAATGCACAACTAAATGGTTTGGACTTTTGAGATTGACACAAGAAGTTCCCTAAACTATTTTTTTGGTCACGGATCCCTCTACAGATTTATGGATTACAACCATTTACTATGATCTCAGTTTCCAGTTCAAAGGATGAATTGGCTTTACCGGTTCCCTGGAAATTCTTTGATTTCTGGGAGTTCAAGAATTTCTGGGAGTACAAAATCCCATGAACCAAATCTCATTTGAGGACTATATAGAACCTAAAGAAAATTTCAGTTGCAAATTAATTCAGTTTTATAAAATAGAAAATAATAATTGAGAACGGGAGTATAATATGCAAAGAGCATGAAGAAATCACTGAAGCTCTCTAACAATCAATAATATTAAGATAAAGTCATAAAATAGCACACAAGATAGGAAACACAAACCATCTCGAGTCCAATTGATTCCACATCTTGAACAATGTATCAAGTCAGATGCTTGACTTGGATACAGTAATCGTCATGTTGCAAAAGCCGCCACCATTGCAGGCAAATTGAATTTGGATCTCATGAACACCTTTTGGAGCTACAGATAAGGTGGTAACATTCTGTGACAATAGATATGCACCAAAACTTGCCACACCACAGCCAACATCCAAAGCTACTTGGGTATGGCTGCCAAATGCGATTTCAGGGATCATCTAGACAATTATCGAAACTAGAAAAGTCAAAGCTCATTCTCTACTTTACAGTACTAGCAGTTAATGTTAATCAAAACAATAGGAACACCTTCTCAATCTGATCCAAGTACTGATCTGCCCCATGTATAAATTGTGTGCCTCCTCCGGGAAACTTGAACTTGTCCTTGTCTATAGTGATCCAATTTTGACCCCCTTTTTCCTCAGCTAAACGGGCATGAGGAACGTTGCTAAACCAAACCTGGATGTTATTACAAGGAAAGGCCACAAAAATTCCATAAACTGGTTCAAATAATCATTCTAATTTTACCATTTCACCATGAAAACACATTATCATTCGAATCATTTGCATTTTCATGTTATACCAATTATAGCTTTTAATCTTACTTTTATCTTTGAAACTAGCCACAAATAACACTGTTAAGTCACATTTTTGCAGAAAAAGCAAGTAATCATACCCATTTCTGTATACAGTTACTAAGTTTCAGTACAAACTCCAAGAAATAACATTTTATTTGCATTCCCACAAAAGAACATTGTAACATTCAATCAAATTCTCCACTTTCTTCAACACACAACCTAAAACACCAAAAACAGATCTTATGCTTGCAGATATAATAAGTTACCTCGTCAAAGCTCTGGGGCCATGGAATGGGCGTCTGATATCCTTTAGGAGACGGGACCAAGCAATTCATTTCCTTGCCCTTTTCATGGCAATGACGCTCAAATTTTTCCCCTTTCTCTGTAGATTTCAACTTCTTATTTGCCTCCTCGTTGTCCAAACAGGGGTACTCCTACTCTCTGGGCACAGCTGAAACTTGTTAAACCTAACTCTAACCATATCCCCTTTGCCATCACTCTCCAAATCCGCCGTATCATTTGCCTTCCCCCCATTCTTTACCACCTCCGTATCACACCCCCCACCTCAAAATCCTCCACCATCACCCTATTCTCATCCACCACCCCCATCCTTTTCACCGCCGGAGTCGGCGACTGATGCGGTGGTGGTGAAACTGAAACTATGCTTTTCTGTTCTCGTTTTTCATTATTTTGGGCTGAAGAAGTGTCATTTATAAGGGAAGTGGTTGTCACGGGTTTTCCCAAGTATCTCCCACGTCATTGTCACGTCAATGGTCGAACTAAATTTATACGCCACTTGGAGCATGAACTGGATTCATCCGCCCAGGAAGAACTGATTTTGTCCCCTGCCACGAATCGGACAAACTGAATTTGTCCCTGCCACGTGGGGACGAACTGATTTGTCTCACCACGTAGTGGACAAACGGACCGCCTCCCATGGCGGATGCAAAGGCGCACATTCCGCCTCACTTCATCGCAATTGAAACTATGTCCGAAGTGATACATCCAAAACGAGATTAACACTTCTTGCCTCAACTGTTCCATTTCAACCCTGCGTACTAAAAGATCTTCCATGGAAAGATCTCAAAAATCAAATCCTTAGGACTGATTAATGAGACGTATGGCATGCTAAAAAATGTTAGGTCAACGCTTTACAATGTCAAGAAACATTAAATGAACCATCCACCTATGAATTGACGGATCGATACCTACGAGAGGATCGCTTTAGATTTAGAGCCACGTGTTCTACATCCAACGATTATTCTCTTATTTCCTTCTAATTATAAACACCCATACTTGCAGTATAGAAGGGGTTGGTCCCTGAAAAGAGAAAAGAAGCACAAGTTTTATACTATCACTACCCATAAGCTCACCACCATTAAAGAATCCATTCTGGCACACATCACTGTTGGAAGTCCCATATTTTGTTTACCAACTCACTGACTTGACTGTCGGAGTGCTTGAGGCCGCTTTCACCCCACCGGAAAAGGCCACGAGCGACTAACGGTGTGTTCATACGTGCAGGAAGGAGCTCACGTGGAAGAACTTTGTTGGCCATGTGTTTGGGCCATTTTTTGGAGTCAACAGTGGCATTGAAGTTTTTATTGTGATTTGGGGAGAGTGCAACGAAGGAAAGTGGCCCAGTAATTTCATTGTGATCTGGGTTTTGGTGGGAGGAGAAAAAAAAGAGTTGCTGTGAAGAACCATCGGAAAAATGCTTGCCCAAGTAGAAGAAAATCACCGATACGAGTATAAATCCTGAGAATTTGATTAAAGTTACGGATTTCAACAGATCTGCCGCCCCTCCATTGCCCATTTCCTTCGTACTCTGAAGGATTCAGACTTTAATTCTTTGGATTTGCTGTCAATTTGATGTGAGTTTTGTAAATTACGCCACTTGAACATAGCTTAAGAGTGAAAGAAGTGTTAGATTGAAGTGACTCAAACGTTGTTCCTGCGGTTTCTGCGTTCAAGAAGAGGCAAAAATCCGTTAAAAGATTATTTATTCCTTTGGCCTAAGTTTGTTGAAACTTCAAAAAATTCTGCAAAAATGACTACTCAACTTAACATTGTTGAATATGCTCTTTTAAAGAAAACTATATGAGAAACATCGTGAAAAATTGAAGGCCGACACCCCAAAATGTCAAGGTTTTCTGGAATGAACCAAATTTGTACACATTTTATATAGGTTCCGCCCATTGTGAAAAACTAAAGGCCGACACACCAAAAAAGTAAGCCTAATCCCACGAGGTGGATGCCCAATCATCCATATCGCATTGTTAAGATACAATCCAACTAATTTTTATGTACCAATATCTAAAACAATAATAGAACAACTTCGAAAAACTAACTAGTTAGCCAAGTTAATCACCAATAGCACACAATGCAGGAGCAATGATTTTTGTTTTCCTTTGCACGAAAAGAAGGAAATGGTAGTTGATTAGCTATGAGTAAAATCTCCCTTACCTGAGATTACTTGTATGGCGAAGTAACCTTCCTTGAGTCTCTATGGACTGATGATGCGGCACCTCGTATAACAAATCAGGGTTCAAAGGATATGGTAGTTTTCACTTGGCAATGGCTCATCGTTACGACCATGGCTTGCAACACAGGAGTTATATCAGTAAAATGGCTTTCCAATATAGAAAATTGTTGTGGCAATTCCCATTTTGATACTAAGTGTAAGATATGCAACATCACAATTCACATAATCTTGCACATAAACTATGAATGTCACACCAAGCAACGCCCCACGACAGAGTGAAAAATTCCACAAGTCGAAAAATGATATTTTCTGTTTCCTTTCTTCCAAGTGATCATCGTCGAATTGATCGGCTCCAATCTTTGTAAACAAGGCTTGGTCCTCCAGCTCCCAAAGAAAGTAAGAACATGGCAGGGAAGAAGGCCACTTCATGAACCTTCTTCTCATGCCTGCATGTATAAACCTCACATTGCTAATGGAGTAAGAAACCGTCCAATTAATAGTGGTCATTCCTGCCCAGTAGTTAACATTTTTTACTGATATTCTGAGATTCTGGTGTTAGGTAATTGCCTCAAAAGTCAAAGTTGAAGGACTTCTACTGCAAATAATAATAGGTTATTATGGATCCTATAAATAGTGGTGTATTCCATATTTTAGGGTTGCGTGACCTGTGAGATAAAAGAAAAAAAGGCATCTACTTTGTGGTAATAAGCAGCAG